AGGTGGTGGTGAGCTACTTTCTTGAACTGCTGCAGTCCACCTGCTGAGGTTGACCCACAATGCCATTAGGGATCAAATTCCAGGATTTTGACCCAACAACACTGAAGGAATGGTGATATATTTCCAAGTCAGGATGGTGAGTGGCTTGGTGGGGAACTTGAAGGTGGTGGTGTTCCCATGTATCTGCTGCCCTTGTCCTACGAGATGAAAGCGGTCATAGGTTTGGAAGGTGCTGCCTGAGGATCTTTGGTGAATTTCTGCAGTGCATCTTGTAAATAATACATGCTCCTGCCACTGAGCATTGGTGGTGGAGGGACTGGATGCTTGTGAATGAGGTGCCAATCAAGCGGGCTGCTTTGTCCTGGATGGTGTTAAGCTTCTTGCGTGTTGTTGGGGCTGCACTCATGTAGGCAAGTGGGGTGTATTCCATCACACTCCTGACTTGTGCCTTGTCAATAGTGGACAGGCTTTGCGGAGTCAGGAGGTGAATTACTTGCCACAGTATTCCTAGCCTCTGACCTGCTCTTATAGGCACTGCGTTTATGTGGTGAGTCCAGTTGAGTTTCTGGTAAATGGTAACCCCAAAGATGTTGATAGTGGGGACTCATTCAATGTCAAGGGACGATGGTTAGATTGTCTCTTTTTGGTGATGGTCATAGCCTGGCATTTGTGTGGCACTGATGTTATATACCACTTGTCAGCCCAAGGCTGGATATTGTCCAGATCTTGTTGCATGTGAACATGGACTGCTTCAGTATCTCAGGAGTCATGAATGGTGCTGAACATTGTATAATCATTGGCGAACATCCCCATTTCTGACCTTATGATGGAGAGAAAGTCATTAATAAAGCAATTGATGATGGTTGAGCCTAGGATGTTACCCTGAGGAACGCCTACAGAGACATCCTGAAGCTGAGATGACTGACCTGCAACAACCATGATCATTTTCCTATGTGCCAGGTATGAGTCCAACCAGTAGAGAGTTTTCCCCCGAAACCTATTGATTCCAGTTTTGCTGTGGCTCCTTGATGCCACACTTGGTTGACTTGGCTGTCACTCCCATCTGGAATTCAGCTCTTTTGCCCATGTTTGAACCAATGCTATAATGAGGCCAGGAGCTGAGTGGCCCTGGCAGAACCCAAACTGAGTGTCACTGAGCAGGTTATTGCTGAGCATGTGCTGCTTGATAGCACTTTTGATGACACCTTCCATCATTTGATGGATGATTGAGGGTAGTCTGATGGGGCAGTAATTGATCAGAGATAGTAGGAACTGCAGATGCTGGACAATCTGAGATAACAAGGTGTAGAGCTGGATGAACACAGCAGGCCAAGCAGCATCAGAGGAGCAGGAAAGCTGACATTTTGGGCCTAGACCCTTCTTCAGAAAAGGTCAAAACAATTGATCCTAAACTGACAAACCTATGTTTAAGTGTTTGTTCACTCCCACCTTTCTTAAATACAGTGTAACATTCTATTTATCTTCAGTTGACTCACAGTTTGCTGTTACCTTGTTTATTATTTCACATGAAACAATTTGGTTTTGCTAATTAGTCATAAACTATCTTCTATTATTTCCCTGTTTTATTTTGATACATTAATTTCTTTGTTGCCCCATTTTTTTGGGTTTTACTTCAATTGTCTGAGTGGCATCATGTAGCAGCATTCACTATCTAAATAATGACGCTATGAAAAGTGTTGTATATTCTCACAGGAATGACATAATTTTTGTTTAGTTATATTCATGTCGGTAAGTGTTACTTTCGAAATTGCTTGCAGTATTGTGTTTTCTTGTTTTGATTGTTATTACCTAATACTTAACCAATTGACAACATAGTTTCCTTATAAATCATTGGTTTTTTGACCTAGTCAGAACGGCTCAAGATCAAGGGTGCCAGACAATCTCAGAGATTGCAATGCTGCAGTGCAGTTTAGAGTTCTGTTTGCAGTATAGGGTATCAGAAGTTGGGCATCAATATTCCAGGATAAACCTGTTAGACAGAGAAGGTATATAATGCTATCTGATGATATCAGTGTAACTTCTAGCTGAGGAGGCAAAGCATAAAAAGACAAGGCAAGGCAATACTTTGTAAAACAGGGATGTCGTGAGCATCCAGGTTGGCTCAGAGTAAGTGCTAAGACAGTAAGTGAAGTGCCCAAAGATGCACCCTCATCCAGTCCACAAACTTGGTTCGCGTCACTGAGCACACAGTGACCGAGCTGCAGTTCAGTTTCTGGTTAAAGGTGGCCCCCAGAATATTGATAGTAGGGGATTCCATGATGGTAAAGACGTTGAATGTCAAAGGAAGACCGTTAGATTCTCTCTTATTGGAGATTGTCATCACCTAGCAACTTATGCAGCGCAACTGTTGGTTGCCACTTCTCAGGCCAAGCCTGAATGTTGTCCATGTCTTGCTATGTGGAAATATACTCCTTCAGAATCTGAGGAATTGAGAATGGTGCTGAACATTATGTAATCATCAGCAAATAACCCCACTTCTGATCTAATGATGGAGGAACATTTACGGATGAAGTAACTGAAGATGGTTTGGCTGAGGATGCTATTCTAAGAAGTGTCCTGGAACTGAGATGCCTAATCATCAACCATAACCATCTTCCTTTGTGCCAGGTATGACTCCAACCAGCAGAGAGTTTTACCCCAATTCCTATTGCTTGGGTTCCCTGATGTAACTGAGTAAAGAGATAACTAATGAGATTGTGGAGGCATCAGGTTCAGTCAAACCTGATTTCAACAGCAGTCATTCTTACCTCATCTCTGGAGTTCAGTTCTTTGGTCCTTTTTTTTTGACAAAGGCTGTAATAATTTAGTATTACTGTGTGAAAGAAAATGGCTAGAATTCATGTAGCCTCAGGTATCAGATTGTGGTGGGGAGAGGAAGGTGGTGTCACTGGGAAATAAACAGTTGAGCATGCTGTGGAATCCCCATTCTGCTGTCCTGCCTGTCAGTCAGTTTGTAGAGGTAGCTGCCATGTGAACTACCCACAAAGGTGGACAGCAAATGAACTCAATGAAGGTTGCAATTATGGGCATTTTCATCCCATCCGAGTGGACCTTTGGTGAGTCCAAAGGCTGGCAGCAACGTAGAAGTGACCTTCTGTGGACAGACCAGAGGTCAAGTGGTACTGCCTCTCACTGCAAGGTTCAATGAATGAACCACTAGGTTAAGAAGGCTGCAACCAGATCATTAACAACTCCTATAGTAGGTTTTCCTCCCTACACAAATGGGCATAACACCTATGGGTACTCTTTTACATTTTAAATTTTCAGTTGGTTTTTGGTCAGTGTTATGTTCACCCTTCTGCCTCAGCAGCACCAACCTCTTGTCACGGGGCTGCTGACTGCCCTCTCATTGGGCTTCCACCCATGCTATCCTTGATTGAACAGAAAATGTGGACATGGATATGGATATGCAAATTCTCAGTCTCAATGCCTGGGTTGTTAATGGGATCAGCACATTGTAAGTGAAAACAGCTCTCACTTCTGCTGAATAGGAATGCTTCGGTAAGATTGAGAAGCTGAGGGAATTGAAAGGTCTTTAGGATCTTTTTCTTGTTTTAGAGTTCTGGAATATGTTATCTGGACATATTTATAGTAATAAAAATGGAAGCATTGAGAGAGATTGAGATGAAAACAAGTATATCTTCTTGGGTGCACAATGTCTGAAACCTGCATAGTTTTTCTTTTGATGTATTGTAATTTGGTGTGAGCATGCATCTTGTGCAAAGATCACATCAAATTAGTATGTATTTTGATCAAACACTGTTGTCAGTCTGAAAATGACAAAACATGGTCCTGTCCTCTGAGCCACCCACTCAACAATAAAACACATCTAATCAAGTGGAATCATATTAGTTGATTGAATTGAGTAATCTCATTGAACTTTGTATCATGAGCTTATTAAAGATAAAGATCTGATTATGGTGTTGTTAAATTGTTGATTGTGCTCAAAGTAAAGAAAGAAATAGAACAGTACAACAGCCCAATTAGGAGCACGCCTCAGGTAAAATCATACCTTTGGGCACTTTGAAGACTTATTTTGGGTTCAGGCCTCAAATAAACCCCAATGTTGGATTTGAAATGCTGCAGAAAAATGCAGCCTGATGTATAATACACAAGAAGCATTTTACAAATGGCCACATTGGGGTTTGGGTGATAACTAATATAGAAATTCTCCCAATTATGAGCTGTAATACTGACTTTATGTATTCTTTAGTAATTATCAGAACTAAAACAGCTGGGGCAGTACGGTGGCTCAGTGGTTAGCACTGCTGCCTCATAGTGCCCGGGACCCGAGTTTAATTCTACCGTCGGGCAACTGTCTGTGTGGAGTTTGCATGTTCTCCCTGAGTCTGCGTGGGTTTCCTCTGGGTGCCCCAGTTTCCTCCCACAGTCCAAAGATGTGCAGGTTAAGTGGATCGGCCATGCTAAATTACCCATAGTGTCCAGAGATACCTAGGCTAGGTGGATTAGCCATGAGAAATGCGGGGTTACAAGGATATGAGGGTGTGGGTCTGGGTGGACTTGATGGGCTGAATGGTCTGCTTCCGCACTGTAGGGATTTTATGACTAAGATAAGGGGACTGGTTAGCTCAGTTGACTGGAAAATTGGTTTGCAATGCAGAATGATACCAGCAGCATGACTTCAATTCCTACAATGGTGGAGGTTACTGTGAAGGACTCTCCTTGTCAGCCTCTCCCCCCACCTGAGGTGTGGTGATCCTCATGTTAAACCACCAACAGCCATCTCCTTAATGAGGTAGCAATTCTATGGCCTGGTAAAACTATGGTGACTTTACTTTCACTTTAAGGTGTACGAGTGGAGGGTAATGCCTAAGGCAGTTCTAGCTGCCGTTGGTTTACAAATTGCAAACAAAATATTTAATTCAAGCAAATTAGTTAAAGCTATTAGTTTAGAACAAACTAACTATTAGTTAACAAGTTAGTTAATTGAAGCAAATAAATTATTAAAGTATAATGCATTCCTTTTGTCCTGGTATTTAATTAAATCTTTCTGTTCTTTTTTCTTCCAAACAGTTCAGGAAAGCTCTTCTTCTAGATTTTCTAGAATATTGCGAATTTTTTCTTGTAACCATAGGAAGGTTTTATCAGCAACATGTTCAAAGAGGTTGTTGTTAGTTTGATAATAATGATTCAGGCACTTTTCATTACAGCATTGGTTTAAAACATCCAAGAAGTTGCAAAATGACCTTCCCAGTGTGTCCCAGTGATGAGATTCTGGATACTTTTCCCTTGCATGTAAATAGAGAATCTGCAAAGGAGAGAAACAGTGAGAATATGAACAAGGTGGCTTGTAAATTAAAGTATAAAATGAGTGAAAAACCTACCTTCATCATGAAGGACCCAAGAAAAGGTCGGCTCTTTCCCTGGTAGTTTTCGCATAATTGATCCACTGTCCAATAGTAGCCATTGAGAAATTTAAAGATTTTGAAGGCTTTTTTTCCAATAACCACTTTTGCATCAATTTTACCAATTAAATAAGCATCGATCCTTGAGAAGGATGGCCTTTTGAAACAAAAATTACAATTAGAATTCCTACAGTGTGGAAACAGGCCCTTCGGCCCAACAAGTCCACACCAAACCTCAGAGCATCCCACCCAGATCCATCCCCCTATGACCCACCTAATATACACCCTCTACCTCCCTGAACATTACAGGCAATTTAGCATGGCCAATCCACCTAACCTGCACATCTTTGGACTGTGGGAGGAAACCCACGCAGACACGGGGAGAATGTGCAAACTCCACACAGACAGTCACCCGAGGCTGGAATCGAACCCAGGTCCCTGGCGCTGTGAGGCAGCAGTGCTAACCACTGTGCCACCGTGTCGCCAGTGGTAACTTTGCAATATGTATCATCTGGTTATAACTGTTTACTGAATGACTACATAATTTGGTTCTGTAAGTGTGGCATTAATCAATCTCTAATTAATGTCACCACAAAGTCAGTCTTTGAATGTGTTAATTACCTACATTTTTAAGATTAAAGAGTCAATAACAACAATAACTTGCATTTTTTTTAGTACCCAAAATGTAAAAACAAAAACACAAAGTATTTTGCAAAGGAGTAATCAAAATAGATCCTAAGGCAAATAAGGATATACCTTGAACAAAAGTGAAGCTTAAAATGTTATTTTTAAAGAGAATGTTAAAAGGGTGAAATAATAGGGAAGAGGGGATTAAGGATGTGGACTCAATACCATAGAACCTAGCTAGGTAGTAGGAGAGAAGATTCACAAGGTCAGTGTTGTAAGGGTGTAGATTTTGTGGGAAATGAGAATTATAGCCTAGAGAAAGTATAGAGTTAGGAAAGGGTGTAAATATGAGAATTAGAAATTTATGCAGTATTGGAGGGTTGGCGTCAAACATATTTTAGTGAGAATATTGAGTGACTGAGACTGGTGCTAATAAGATATGGTTAGTTAGATGAGTTGAGTTTATGGAGGGTGGTTGATGGGAGCTAACATTGCAATGTGATGGAAACTCTAGTGGAGATATGCGAAGACAGAGGGGATTGGCAAAGTTATGAAGACGTGAGTAGACAGTCTTTTTGATGATCACAATTTAGTTTTGAGAGTTTTAGATTTAACACATTTGATTGAATCTGAGCCAGTATTTGGGGAAAGGTTTGAATTTATCCTGTTGTGTTTGGATTTGTGGTGTTGACCATGACTAGAGTTTCAGACTTTTCAATTTCTAGCTGGAGGTAATTGCAACTCATTATGTTGAGCAAAAGGGCTGTCATGTGTCCTACAACACAGAGGCAGTGAAGAGATTAAGAGAGGTGCAGAACTGAGTGTCTTCAGTGTCCTGACTCCATCCCTGTGAAGTGTTACTTAGGAGTAGTATGTAGATGAGGAGTAGGAAGTGTCTCCTTGGGAGACCCAAAAGACAGAAGGAGTAACCAATCATGAAACAGAATAACAAAGCAGGATTTAAAGAGACCCAGGTGTAGCATGAACACTAGTGTGGGCTAGTTGGGCTGAGTGATCTGTTTCTGTAACATACATTTTATAATCCTTGCAATTACTGAAGGTACTTGGGCTGTGATCATTTGGTAAAGATTAGAAGCAAATGAGGACACAGCTAGAAAACAGACATGTTGGAGCAGAATAGGGTGGTCTACAGTGTCCTAAATTTCAAAGAGGTTAAATTAAATACCTATGTTTTTTTTCATTCCCCAACCCACCACCCCAGCTATGATACCCCAGTTAATGATGTACCGAGGAAGAATTAACACATTTGTGCAGATTTTTCTGCAAAAAAGTACCTCAACTGCTATCTTATAATTCTCATTCTTGAACTGTCTTTCCTGTTTTTGGATATGCAGTATCTCAGATCTCTGCCACCTTTCTGAAATAACCTTGGGTTCAAGAGCTTTTGCTTCAGATTCATTTGGAGTTAACTAAGTAAGGAAAACCTAGCACTATATAGCTACTGCTGGGTATTCAGTAAGTGCAAATATACCTTCTGATTAATACAGTATTTTACACACAGACCATGACAACAAAAAAAACTGTAAGTTATAAAGTGGCTTTGATGTAGAAACATAGAACTTAGGAGCAGAAGTAGGCCATTTGGCCCTTTGAGCCAGCTCCACTATTCAATATGATCATGGCTGATCATCCAACTCAGTGTCTTGTTCCCACTTTCTCCCCACACCCTTTGATCTCTTTAGCCCTACGACGTATATCTAACTCATGTTGAATTCATTCAATGAATTGGCCTCAACCACTTTCTGTGCTCATGTGCGGAAGAAATTTCTCCTCCTCATCACAGTCCTAAATGGCCTACCACCTATCTTTGTATAGTGACCCCTAGCTCTGGACTCCCTGGTCATTGGGAACATCCTTCCTGCATTTATTGAGGCTAGTCCTGTGAGAATTTTATAGATTCTATGAGATTACCCCTCATTATTCTAAGCACCAGTAAATATAGGCTTAAACAATCCAGTCTTTACACATCAGTCCTACCATCCCAGGAATCATCTTGTTAACCTTTTGCTGCACTCCCTCCATAGCCAGAACATCCTTCCTCAGATAAGGAAACCAAATTTGCAAACAATACTCCAGGTACGATCTCACCAAGGCCCTGTACAATTGCAGAAAGACATCTCTGCTTCTGTACTCGAATGTTTTCGCTATGAAGGGCAACATATCATTTGCTACCTTCACCGCCTGCTGTACCTGTATGCGTACTTTCAGCGACTGGTGTACAGGGACACCCTGGTCTCAATGCATCCTTTCCCCATCTATCACCATTCAGACAATAACATATCTTCCTGTTTTTGCTCCCAAAGTGGATAACCTCGTATTTATCCACGTTATCTGCCATACATTTTCCCGCTCACTCAACTTATCCAACTCACACTGAAGCATCTTCGCATCCTCCCCACAGTTCACCCTCCTACCCAGCTCTGCAATATAATGTACTGAAATATCCTCAGTCTAAATATCCAAAAACAAATTTTGACACAAAGTAACGTAAGAAGATACTAGGACAGATGGTCACAAGATTGGTCAACAGCACAACTTCTTAAAACAGAGACAGAGGCACAGTGTTTTATGGAGAGAACTCCAACACTCAGGTCTCTGGCTGCCAGAGATATGGCTACTACTGGTGGAGCAGTTAAAATCGAGGTGCTCACGAGACCAGAATTAGAGAAGGATTGTATGGCTGGAACAGATAACAGACATTTGGAGCAAAAGGATTTGATAACCAGGATGAGAGAAGTGTTGCTTAACAGGGAGCCAATGTAGGTCAACTAGAACAGATCTCACGGATGAATGGTGCAAAGTAGAATATAGACGTCAAAGTTTAGCTGACTTAAAGTTGCAGGGAATGGAACTTGGGAAGCCAGTTAGGAGTTAGAACAGTCATGTGTAGAGATACAAATGCTGTGGATGAGGTTTTCAGGAACAGATGCCCTGATGCAGTCTGGGGTACAATTACATTATGGAGAAGGAAACAGGTGATCTTAGTGATGGTATGTGGTTGATGGCTCATCTTGAAATCAAATATGACACCAGAATTACACATAGTCTAGCTCAGCCTCTTACAATTGTTCAGGAAAGGGATAAACTTGATAGCTGGAGATCAGAGTTGGTGGCAGCGTTGGGAGACAATGGCTTCGATTTTCCAAATAATGATCTGGAGTACATTTCTGCTCAACCAGTATTAGGTGTTGGAAAGGCAACTGGACAGTTTAGAAACAGTGGAGGGGTGAGTGGTTCTGAGTGTCATCAGTGTACATGTGAAAATGTGTTTTTAGAAGATGTATTTGAGGAGTAGCAAAAGGATGAGAAATAGATCTTATTGTGCAAATATGAATGGCCTTGGGATGTTTTCCTAAATTAAATGCAAGTTATTCTAAATTATTTTCTCATAACATCCAGTACTCTAGCACCCATTTATGGGCAGTGGTAGGTACTGGTAATGCCGATGGACCGTAAACTAAAGGTCCACCGTAATGGTCTGTAGCACATGTTTAAATCCACCAATGCGACTGGCAGAATCAAAATCAATTAATGAATCCAAAATTAAAAGCTCATCTTTGTGACCACAAAACCATTGTTGATTGTTGTAGAGACTCATCTGGCTCACTAATGTCCTTTAGAGAAGGAAGTCTGCCATCCTCATCCATGTATGATTCCGTAGACTCGGCAATGTGATTGACTCTGAAGAGTCCTCTGACATAGTTGAATAAACCAGTTTAAGGGCAGTTAGGGATAGGCAACAAATGCCTATCTTGCCAGCAACTCCACATCCCATAAAAGAATAAAGATCCATATGTTTATGGGAAAAATTGTTTTTAAATTACTTTAACTAACATTGTGATAAACTTTGCATGCAACATTGTTGATGTAGTAACTAAAACTTATTTTCACTATTATCATGACCAATAACCATAATCACACTGATATAAGGTAAGACTTGGGCTAATGGAGCTGGGGTTATGTATTATCACTAATGGAGGATTGGTTAATGACAGGATGTAGAAAGTAGGGTGAACAGGATGCATCCAATTTGGAAGACTGTAGCTCTTGAACTGTCAGAAGAAGCCATGCTGGGGCCTCAGTTATTTGTAATCTATGTTAGAGATCTATACAAAGAGACTAAACATAATGCATCCAAGTTTATTGATGGCAAAAAGCTATGTAAAATGGAGATAAAAACAAGCTTCAACTTTGGTTTGTGTCTGTTAATGGTCTGATGTCCTAGTATGTGGACTGATGGGTTGTGAAGATCAAAGCTTTTAGAACCATCATTAAACAGCCCTGCAATGCAGGTAAAAAAGTAAATAAAAACTCACTATGTGAGCTGCCAGCCAGTGTCTGTTGAAAGGTACCAGGACTAAAGAATTCAGTCAGCTTACAAAGCCAAGAATCTCAAAATCAACTGTTCAACTTCCAATATCAATACTACTGGTAACATCCACTGAAATGGTCACAATAATCTATCTACTTTTCATGGTTGACTCAGAGACTATAATTTGTTTAATTTTTATCTTTTTTGGGACTCACTTCGTATTCCTATCTGTTACTGTTATGATGCCATATGATTTTATCACTGGAGAAGTCAGAATCCAGACTGCAGTTTGGTTTGATAAATCATATTTTGTTTTTTTTTATTTGATGAGGTGGTCTTTCACTGAAACTCAAGGACACAATGTGGAGATTTGATTGACAATAAAACAGAAGTTTATTACACAAAAGAAGTAAAATAGAATAACCCAAAGTATTTACAGAGGGCCATGAACTGATTGTAACTTGAGGTTATTCACTTTGGCAGTAAGCATAGAAAAGCAGATTTTGTTTAGACGGTGTTGAATTTCAAAATGTTGATGCTTGTAGATTCTTTTGTTTACTTGTTCAAGGAATGGAGAAAGTTAACATGCAGGAACAGCAACCAATTAGAAAGACAAATGAAATGTTGGCCTTTTTTGCAAAGGGATTTGAATATGGGAATTGCAATAAATCAGTTCTGTTCTATGTGTTTGAAGTTGGCAGCTGTAATTGTTAAAATTTCATTCCGCTCAGTAATAAAGGTAGAATGCTTTGGGAAGGTTTCAATAGATAATTTTAAACAGTTTAAGGGTTACTAAACAATAATTCAAGGATCAGCCAGTAAGTGAGACAGAGTCAGAAAAGATAATCCATTTTGCCAAAGTATTGCTGTTAGCTGGCTCATTGTAGTTGGGGCAAAGGCAGCCCTTGGGAGTAAGGTTCTGCTCAGAGAAGTTAGAGAGCTGGAATTGAGCCTGTAATTAGTTACTGGATTGCAGCCTTGTGAAGTCCAATGGGATGCAGCCTTGGGAGAAAATATTGATTAGCTGGGAGTCTGTGCAGTTTTTGGCAATCGCATGGCTGAAGAGCTGGGGCTGTGCTTGTGATTAGCCTCTGAGTATAGAATTAGGTCAGCTCATTTGGCAAAGAAGACCAAGGAATCTGGATCTTCAAGCCCAAGAATTCATGGGCAGCAGTAGCTTGGTGAAACTAACTATTTGGTAAAATGTGGGAATTGTACTGATCATTGGAAACTTGCATTCTCAGGTATCTTGAGGAATATGCTCTCGAGAGAAGAGACTGGACTAAACGACCTGCACAGTCATTGAGACAGACTGTGATCAAGTCTCTTTAAGAGATTCAGAGGCTAGATCTTTGAAATTGAAGATGTGATATTCCCTCCATGAAGGAGGAAAAGTTTAAAGAGATTTGGTGTCCCACAGGGTCACTAAATCTGGGTGGCTTGCTGAGAAATCCACAAAATCTGTTTTGATTGTGCCTACTATTTGATATACTTTGTGATTTATGTATTCAATCAGAGTTTCTTTGTTAACACATATTTACCTCATGCTAATTCTGATGTTAGACTATAAGTTGCACATGTACATTGTTTTACTTTTTATCATTTGCTTGTAATATTTACTTTGTTTGTTCAAAAACATGTTCCTTTTTTTAGTAAGTATCTGGGATTTCAACCTTTGCCGACTTTGGACGAAGAAAGTTCTTAATCTCTAACCAAGTTGGAAAATAAATCTAGCAGTCTCATCTAGGCTCATGATATAAATTTGGCAATCTTCTCTGGGATCGTAACAGAATAATTAAGTATTCTCACAACTGTATAGGGCTACACTGAGACCACACTGGGGGAACAATACCAAGGTTTGTCTCCATATCCAAGGAAGGATACAGCCGTCTTGGAGTTGTTACAGAGAAGGCTCACTTGAGTGATTCTTGTGATGAGAAAGTTATCCTCTTATGAAAGGTTGAGTGAATTGGGCTATATTCTCCGGAGTTTAGAAGAATGAAAGGCAATCTCAGTGAAACATACAATATTGTGAAGGGGTTTGCCAAGGTAGACACTGAAAGCTTGAGTGGGATGTAGAAAATGGGGCAAAGTCTCAGGATAAGGGACTGATTTATGACAAAGATGAGAATTTTTTTCATTCAGAGGGTAAGAAATCTTTGGAATGGTCTACCTCAGAGCTGATGGATGCTTTGTTATTGAGTCTATTTAAAACCGAGTCAGAGTTTTGATGTCTAACGGAAACAAAGGATATTGATGGGAAAACAGAGTTGAACCAGAAGATTGGTCATGATTGTATTGAACGACAGCAGGTTTGAGGAGCCATATGGTGTACTCCTGCTTCCATATCTTACATTTTTATTTTCTGATGATGTTACACAGCGCCAAGTGGATTCTCCAGAATCAACACAAAGTGTATAGTGCCTCTACAGAGTGATTTTCATATATTTGAGTGGACGTAGTTCAAAATGTTCACATAATCACCATTATTATTATTATTTACAAATATTATAGCAAGTAATCTCCCAGTGTGCACAGTGCAAAAGTTATCAGACTAATGGTTATGTTTTTCTTATTTCTTATAACATCACCAATTTACTATTTTCAGTCTAATCAAACAAACTTTGATGTGGCAAATACAATTACTTCATTTACCTCCAGAGTATTCCATGACATGTCATGTCTATTCCCATTTGTCTGACAGATTCTTGTTGTTGATAGGTCAGCCACTTGGACTGACCATTCAGCCATTTTGGAAAAGGCCATTTCACATCAGAGAACTGAAGGGGATTTTTAATGCAAAGCACCATATCAATTTTTATCCAGTCAATCTTCAGAGGCAAAGCTGCAGCTGTGACCGTCTTTTTTCTGACTATTAACACAAGTTCATTATTAGTTAAATACATAAGACATCAGATGGATAATCTACAGGCAAGTCAATCATCCTAATAAATGACACTTTCAGAAAGATATATATAACAGTAAAGATAATATAACAGGAAATTCAGATCTGAATGACAGTCATTTCTCCACACTCCCATTCCCTCCAAACCCCTACTACATAAGTGCCCACGCCAGCTGTGGTCATACACTGCCTCTGCCTTGGAGCCAGGGTGCTCCTTACCATAGATCAACCCCGTTTCCACATTTACCTGTTTCCCATCTGTGCTGTACTGTATTCCCCACTTGCAAACACAGTTGCTCTCCTTCACAATTGGCATTGTCCTCCCCCTCCAGCCTGCAGTCCCCAATCCCAATCAATGGTTCTTGAGTTTCCTTCCCACAGCAACCGCCTCCTTGTCAGCCTTTTTAACACTCTTTCCACTTCATTTCTGGATGGACAGATTGGCCTCCCTCTTGACTGACCTAACCAGGCAGCCCTGAGGAGATGCACCCAGACCCCGAGTGATACCTGCACCTCTCCCTGACTGCATCAGACCTAACCCACAGATTGGCAGCAAGGAAGCTACAGGACTAACCATCATCCAGACATGGGGCCCCTACTTGAGAGCATCCCAATGGGATGTCTGACAATGGCCAATCCCTGGATTGGTATCAGGTCTGCCCTTGGCTTACTATGTCAATTCCCCTGACTGATGGATGCCTCCCTGTAAAATGGGGAGAATGATTCCCCAAAGACTTTGAGACATTGCTGCTTGCTTGCTGCACATAGAGTCATACAGCTGTAGAGCAAGGAAACAGACCCTTTGGTCCAATGTGTCCATGCCGACCGGATGTCCTAAATTAATCTGGTCCCATTTGCCATGTAGTGTGTTTGCTGAGTAAGCCGCCAGACAGCAAGATGTGCATCCCTTTGACTGAGCACTGCAAAGCAGAAATGCAACCTGCCAGGTTGTGGGAGACTGAGATAATTATCAAGACAAGGCAGAAATACTATGAACATGGAGGTGAGAATTTTGTGAGTACACAGTAAGACAGCTGGGATACAGCCTGATCCAATTCAAGAGTTCTTGCTGCAGCATTTCAATGTTAGTTGCTGATATGCCCTGCAATGCGGGTCTGTGTTTCCTCAGCATTCCGTGAGTGGATTGGAGAGGTGCCACAACAGTCATGAGGGGTGGCCAAATACCTGTGGATGGGGGGAGCTTTCAGCTGGTGGCCATGGATTAAGCCCTGTGATGCTGTTTGGTAATAAGTCACAAAGAGGCTCCTCACAACCAGCCGTGAGCTGTAGTCACCAGGTACCTGCTCTGACTTTCTTGTCAAGAATTCTCAATGTGTAGCTTGTTTGTTAAAATAGGAAATTGAAATTTATTGGGGCAAGTTGCAACATTGATAAAATATTTAACGAGCTATAATCCCTCTTAATTGGCAACTCACTGCTGCCTAGTGAGAAACACAGCCCCCTGCTTGGCAAATGCATAAAAGATGTAGTGAGTTGCTCCAAATACTAACATAGGTCTCGCCTGACAGCTCACTCAATTCTGCCACAAACCTTGCCATAGCCCACATCGCTTAGGCCCCTACAAGATTCCATCCACAGTCGAATCAAGCAGAGTCAATATTGCTTCATGAAAGGGAAATCATACCTAACCAATTTACTAGAATTCTTTGAGGAGGTAACAAGCTGGATAGATAATGGGGAACTAGTAGATATAATCCATTTGGATTTCCAAAAGGCACATTCAATGAGATATCACACATAAACCTCACTTAATATAACATGAAACCATGATGTTGACTAGAATGTTAGATAAAAGGGAAGCAGTAAATGTAATATATTTGGATTTTCAGAAGGCGTTTGTGTTAAGATAAAAGCCCATGGTGTTGGAGGTAGTATATTAGCATGGACAAAGGCTTCACTAACTAATAGAAGACAGAAAGTTGATATAGGGGGTAGTTTTCAGGCTGGAAACCTGTAACAAGCGGAGTGCCACGGGGATCAGTGCTACTGTCACAATTACTTACGATATAAATTAATAACTTGAATGAGGAAAATGAATGTACTGTCAGCAAGTTTGCAATTGACACTCAAATAGGTGGAAAGATGTTTGTATGTGTATGTTTATGAGTGAATGGGTGTGTAAAGTAAGTTTGTTTGTGTTCATTGTGTGAGTGAGTTGGTCTTTGTGACTGAGTGCCTGTGTGTGAGAGTGAATGTGTCTGTGTGTATGATTAAATCTCATGTGAGTCTGCTTGTGTGAGTCTCTAAGTGAGTGAATGAGGCTGCATGTGTGTGAGTGGGTTTGTCTATTTGTGGGAGTCAGTCTATTTGTTTGTCACCTTATTTTAGTGTATATCTGAGCAAATGTGTGAATCTGTCCATGTGAGTCTGTTATGTGAATGTGAAGATGTGTGTGATTGTTTGTGTGGTGTGTGTGAGAGAATGACTCTGTGTATCTGTGTGAGAGAGATTTGGTGCTAGACACATATATGCACCCTCCCCTGCCATCTCCAGCTCACTCCCCTAAAACCTATGCACATACTGGGCTGGGACAGGAGGAATACATAGGCTCAAAGGCAACTTGCTTCACTCCCAGCCTCACGTGAAGTGTGCTGAGATCAGCTTGGAGTGTGTGTCCCGAGAGGCACAAGGTCAGTGATAGTTGGATCCAACTACTTAGCAATTACCTGGGACTGGGACCTAGTCAGCTTCTACCTCCAGCTATTCTTCATGTGAAAAGACGAAAATCATTTTATTGGTTAGTTCTGGTACTTAGGATAATAGAATCCCAACAGTGTGGAAGCAGGCCATTTGGCCCAACAAATACACAACGACCCTCTGAACAGCAAGATACCCAGACCCACCCTCCCTACACTATCCCTGTAACCCGAAATTTCCTTGGCTAATCCACGGAGCCTGCACATCCCTGGATACTATGGGCAATTTAGCATGGCCAATCGACCTAACCTGCACATCTTTGAACTGTGGGAAGAAACCCATGCAGACATGGGAGAAAATACAAACTCCACGCAGTCACCCAAGACTGGAATCAAACCTGGATCCCTGGTGTTGTGAGGCAGCAGTGCTAACCACTCAGCCACTGTGACACCCTTAATGTCACATTCTAGTGGTTTTCTTCATAATTGCTTATTGTTAAATGATCTATTTATAGCTTTCACTTTCTTTTGCTCTGTTATGGGAAGGATATTATTAAGCTGGAGAGGGTTCAGAACAGATTTACCAGGATGTTGATAACAGTGTGGAGCTGGAGGAACACAGCAGGCCAGGCAGCATCAGAGGAACAGGAAAGCTATCGTTTTGGGTCAGGACAGCTGGAGGAACACAGCAGGGCCAGCCAGCATCAGAGCAGCAGGAAAGCTGACATTTCGGGTTGGGACCCTTGTCCCGTCCCAAAACATCAGCTTTTCTGCTCCTCTGATGCTGCCTGGCCTGCAGTGTTCCTCCAGCTCCACACTGTGTTATCTCTGACTCCAGCATCAGCAGTACTTTACCAGGATGTTGCTGAGAATGGAGAGTTTGAGTTATAAGGAGGGGTTGGATAGGCTAGGATCTTTTTTCACTGGAGCATAGGAGATTCAGGGGTGATCAAACAGTGGTTTATAAAATCATAAGGGGTAAACAGAATGGCTGGTGTCTTTTCCCTAAGGTGGGGGATTTTAAGACTGGGGGCATGTTTTAAATGTGAGAGGAGAAAGATTTAAAAAAAACATGAAAGGGCAATTGTTTTAAGAGAGTGGTTGGTTTGTAGTATGGACTTCCAGATGAAGTGATGGATGCGGGTACAGTTGCAACATTTAAAAGACATTTTGATAAGTACATGTGTAAGAAACATTTGTAGGGATATGGGCCAAGCACAGGCAGGTGGGACTAGTTCAGTTATAAATTGTTGGACTGAAAAGCCTGTTTCCATGCTGTATGACTCTATAAGTTATGTTTTCCTCATACCCCAAGTTTCACTTTGAAATACAGATTTAACATTGTGCCAAACACTATCTTTCTGCAGAGACAAAAAAAACTGCAGATACTGGTATCCAAGGTAGACAAATAGGAGGCTGGAAGAACATAGCAGGCCAGGCAATATCTGCAGCAGTCAATGTTTTGGGTATTACTCTTCTTCAGGACTGGATGTGGGGGTAAGGGAGCTACAGATAAAGGGTGGGGGTAGTGGAAAGGTGGTGATAGTGGACACTGATAGTAGGTATGAACTGTTTGGTCGATGGAAGGGATGAGCCCGGTTGGTAACTGGAAGGGAGGAGGTGGGGTGGTAGGGGGAAGGGGGGAGGTGAGAAGATTCCTGAAACGTTGACTTCTCTTTTCCTCCACATGCTGCCTGGTTTGCTGTGTTCTTCCAGCCTCCTGTTTGTCTACTACCTTTCTGCAATTTGTTCATCGGCCCCTGAAAGCTGACGTGACAAAGAAAATCTGAAATGTGGCCATTACACCCGCACAATCCTACCGTAACATTTTTACTCTGATCGATCAGTGAGGCGAATAAAGGATTTAAAAAAGTTCACCCCCACAAAACAAATGGACATCTGGAAAATGGTTCCCAGTCTTTTTTTTTCAGAGCAACAGTTCGCTTTATTTCTTACTCAGCCGCATATTGTCTAAAGTCGAAAGGGTCAATCTGTTCTCAAAAGATCCCTCCGCCAATTTTTCTCCCTCCCGTGAGGTTTTGGTGTCAATCGACATTCTCGCGTGTTTTACTCATTTTAATGCAATTGGCCCAAATTAAATATTTACTCGTTACCCTTCACACTGATAGGCTGAACTAGGTTTTTACCTGCAAAGGAAGGGTCGTCCTTGTAATATTTCTCTTTGTATTCAGTTACCAATTCATACAGCCTCGAGATAGTTTCATCATGAGAAAGGCACCTCCACCCGCCATTGACATACTCATCGATGGAAAATGTATTCAAACTCTGGTCATTCGGAGTAACCCGGAGTTTATCCTTCCGCAAGGGGATCAGTACATCAAGTTCATCGACAGCCTCGGCTTTGGTTCCGTCAGCAATACTTCCCACTTGGATGAAGCAATTCTCAAACAAATCGTCTCGACTGTGAATAAACTCCAGAAGCTGTTTCAGCATCAACTGTAAAGTGCGCTTCTTATCCTTTTCGCCTGGCTCCTTTTTCACAAAACTTGTGTAATACTTTTGCAGAGGCTCTTCCAGAGCCTCACTCATTGCAAGGATTTGCAATTCCATTTTAACTTAGTTCGTTTTGCAGGAATTCTGGACCTTTAGCTGCAGTTTTGTTTGCATCTAAAACTCTTGAGGCGAACCGAGGATTGCAAGAAGGAAGTGTTTAGGTTTCCTGTCTAAGCGGCCGCTGCTGATAAAGTATTTCCCACTGTGCTGTACCGTAGTAGCCACTGTACATTGCTTAATAAGGTCATGACAAAGTGAAATCTAATCGGGAATTCAGGAGAAAGCTGTTTACACAAAGACTGATCAAAATGTGAAATTAACTGGTGGGGTTATACCCGGGGTCGTAAATGGAGAAGCCAAATGAAGGTTTGAGGGAGAAATAATAGAAGAATAGGCTGACAGAGTTAGAGGAAAGTTTAGAGGTTACTGTGGAACAAAAAGTTCCAGAATGAACCAACAGGGCCAAATGGCTTCTTTCTAAGGTGTAGACTCTTTCACATTCTACTTACTCTGTTAATGAACTTTGATACCATTAGATGAAATGGCAGACACAGTGCTAAAATGCATGTAAAACTTGATGTGTTCAGAACAATGGGTGGGTTGTTCCTGTACAGTCAGATTAGAATTTCGTTTTATTTGTTCACAGGCTGCAGATGTCTCCGGCTAGGCCAATATTTATTGCCCATCCGTAATTGCTCAGAAGGTACTTAAGAGTCAACCATATTACTATGGGTGTAGAGTTACATGTAAATCAGACCAAGTAAGGACAGCAGGATTCCTTCCCTAAAATACATTTGTGTGTCAAATGGGTTTTTACAACAATAACAGCATTGGGCTAACTTTTGTTTATTCCAGTTTCTTCAATTGAATTTGGATTTTAACCAGCTGCTGTGGGTGGGATTTGAACCCATGTCACATGCCACCACATCATCCTGGCATGCTGTACTCTGCGTATTTGGAGAGGCGATGTGTTATATGCTGAGACCTGGGGGAATGGGAGCAATCTTTTGAGGAGGTTGGTGAGGACACTGGGGAGGAGGAAGTTCTCCTTGTGCATGTCAGAACTCTGCTGCATTGAGGTCTATAAGCCAGACAGGACCTGACTGACACACCTGGTTCCAGGAAAAGAAAGCTGGGTGCAACGGACCATCACAACAGTCATTGGTTATGATGTTGGTATGCATTGTGGGAGTGAGCTGCCTCCTCTAATCATTTGCTTATGTTTGCTTTTGGTAGGTGTGACTAAAACCTCATGTTTGGAATTGTCTGAGTGCTTGCCTGTGTGTGATGTCCCCTGATTGGCTAATGACAAGATTTGAGTGTCTAGTGGGTAATGGAGACAAAACAGAGGTGACTTGCAGACAGTGCTTAGGTGTAGCTAAGCACGTAGATTGTGTGGTCTGGTGGTTAAAACAGTGATTAGAGTTAAGTGTTGTAAGTGTGAAAGGGTGTCAGCTATGTGAGCAGTGTGACTTTGTGGCTGTTGTGTCATTGCTTTGCCACTGAGGGGCAATGCCAGATTGCCAGGTGCACTACATGCTTTAAAAAAAAGTATGAGTGCCTGACGTGCCAGTCTTTTGCCAGATAACCAGTGAGTGGCAAGTTGTTCTGGGAACGGTGAGTGATAAGATGGGGTAAAAATTGGGCAACAGGTGCATTATAGGGGTTGGGTAGGGATAGTTAATAAGGCACAGAGAGTGATCTTGCTAGGTCTCATAGAAAGAAATCTTCCATAAAATCTGATGAAACTGAGTGAGTCTGTGTGTGCAAGTGAGTGAGTGAATGAGTGACTGTCTGGATGTGATTCAGAGCGTGTTTGTAAGTGAGTTTGTCTGTGTGTGCACTTACACACACTCTCCCCCTCTCTTGCTCCCTCCCCAGAAACCTATTCCCATTTTGGGCTGGAAGAAGAGGCTAAAATGAGACCTGCTTCACCTCCACTCTTATATGCATTCTGTTAAAGGTAGTTAAAAGAATGTGCATTACCAGATGCAAACTTGATGGATAAACACAAGTGCTTAGATTGGCCCCACTTTCCTTCCCTTTCCAGCAGCCACTAGGACCTAGTCCTTCTCTCTTTCTGTAGTTCTGCTTTAAGTGAAAAGGCAAAATAAATTTATTAGTTCTCGTACCTAATATGCACTTTTTAATAGTCATCTTTATTAATTATTTTTAAAAGTATCAATTTAATTGTTTTTTTTTTGCTTGAGCAAGTTATGTTTTTTCATAGTTCAACTTTAACTTGAAATTCAGTTTTAATGTTCTACCAAATTTTTCTTTCTGAAATTTGTTCTTTGGCTTCTTGAGTATGGGGCAAAGCAAACACTGAAATCTGCCCCCACCCATGTTAAAAGTTTGGCCAGCCCTGCTCTTGAACAACCTCTTTATCCAGTTGCATTGTACCATTAACCTTTGCAATCAATCTTCTCAATCTTGCATTATCTGTTATATTTTGATCAATCAATGAGCCTGATGAGGGAAAGACATTTCATTCATTCAAAATAAATTACCTGAACAGAGGATTCTAGCAATCTCAACCATATCTTTCTAGGAGAAGCCTTCTTTTCTGCACTTACCCTCACACTGGCTGCAGACAAGCATACAAACTGACTATCTATTGCTTGTATGTAGCATTGCTGTGGGAACTCAAAGAATCACTTGCCATTTTCTCTCCTTACAGTGAGATTTCTGGTATGAGCACTCTCCACAGCAGTATAATTGAGGTTAGGAGTGCAGTAAAATATGGGAACATGGATCTCATACCCATTCTTTGTCATAAACCAGGCCTGTGCTTTTTCTTTTCTGTCAACGTTTCTCAGTGGCTGGTCTTAGTGCATCCAAACTGACCAGATTTGTAAACAGTTTTATTCTCCTGGGATCCAAACAAGCAAGATGAAATGACCTTCAACACAATTATATTATACTGAATCTGTAATACTGTTCAGCCTCCTTTGGGAAGATCCTACCTCGATCAACTTGCTTCATTATTTTGAGGAAATTATGACTCAACCAGACCCTGGTTAATCCTGTATGTTACACTGTGTGTTTAGACTTCCAACCCACATTGGATAATAATTCACCATGAGAATGAAGATGACAATTTGAAGGAATAACAGGAAGACTAAAGTGTGGAAAAGCATGGCAAATTATCTAAAAGATAGCGTTGCAGTACAAAATATGGGATAGTGAAAGCTGCCAAATAAATGTAAGATAACAAGGTTTGGAGCTGGATGAACACAGCAGGCCAGGCAGCATCAGAGGAGCAGGAAAGCTGACGTTTCTTCAGAAATGGGGTAGGGGAAGGGGGCTCTGAAATAAATAGAGAGAGGGGGAGGCGATAATAGAAGATGGATAGAGGAGCAGATAGGTGGAGAGAAGACGGACAGGTCAAGGAGGCAGGGATGAAGCCAGTACAGGTGAGTATAGGTAGGGAGTTGGGATGGGGGTTGGTCAGTGAGGATGGAGGGGCAGGTAGGTGGGAGGGAAGGTGGGCAGGCCAAGGAGGCGGGGATGAGGCTAGTAGGTAGGAGGTGGAGTGGGGGTTGGTTAGTGAGGTGGGAGGAGCGGATAGGTGGGAGAAAAGACGGACAGGTCAAGGAGGCGGGGACGAGCTGGGCTGGTCTTGGGATGAGGTCGAGGGTGGGGAGATTTTGAAGCTTGTAAAGTCCACATTGAGACCACTGGGCTGCAGGGTTCCCTGGCGGAATATGTGGTGCTGTTCCTCCAGCCTTCGTGTGGCATCGTTGTGGCACTGGAGGAGGCCCAGGATGAACATGTCGTCCAAGGAGTGGGAGGGGGAGTTGAAGTGATTCACGACTGGGAGGTGTTGTCGTTTGTCACGAACCGAGCATTGGTGTTCCACAAACTGGTCTCCGAGCCTCTGCTTGGTTTCCCCGATGTAGAGGAGGCCACATCAGTAACGGTGGTTCTGTAGGAAGTGGGTGGAGTTAAAGGAGTTGTTGTTCACGGTAAGGACAAGTTCTGTTAAGCAGATGAGGGTATCAGTAGAGGGGGACTGGTTGGGCCTGTGTGAGAGGAAGAAATGGAGGGCTTTTAGACCATCTGGGTGGAGGATACAAGTGTACAGGGATTGGATGTCCATAGTGAAGATGAGGTGTCGGGGGCCAGGGAATTGGAAGTCTTGGAGGATGTGGATGGTGTCCCAGGCGTAAGTGGGGAGTTCCTGGACTAGAGTGGAAAAGACTGAGTCAAGGTAAGCAGAGTTGAGTTCAGTGGGGTAGGAGCAGGCAGAAACAACGGGTTGGCCGGGGCAGTCAGGTTTGTGGATTTTGAGAAGGAGATAGAAACGGGCGGTGCAGTGTTGGGGAACGATGAGGTTGGAGGCCGTGGGTGGGAGGTGACCTGAGGTGATGAGGTTATGAATGGTCTGAGAGATGATGGTTTGGTGCTCAGGGGTGGGATCATAATCGAGGGGGGCAGTAGGAGAAGGTGTCAGAGAGTTGGGGTCTGGCCTCAGCAATGTAAGGGTCAGTGTGCCATACCACTACTCCGCCCCCCCCACTCCCAATTCCTCCACCTCTGCTGCATCTGCTCCCAAAATGGAGCATTCCACACCCGGATATCCCAGAGATCCTCCTATTTCAAGGACTGCAACTCCCCCCACCGTGATCAAAATGCCCTCAACCGCATCTCTTGCATTTCCCACACTTCTGCCCTCAAACTCCCTCCACCCAACAAAAAAAAAAAAACAGAATCCCCCTGGGCCTCACATATCACCCCACCAACCTCCGCATCCATGTGACCTTTACATCGGTGAGACCAAGTGTAGACTTGGAAACCGTTTTGTAGAGCATCTGCACTCTGTATGCAACAAACAGCAAGACCTTCCAGTCACCAAGTTAACTTCCCTCCCACTCCGAGTGATATATCTAAACTGGGCCTCCTCCAGTACCACAATGACACCACCCGCAAACTGGAGGAGCAGCACCTCATGTTCCATCTCGGGAGCTAACAGGCCGATGGCCTAAACATGGAATTCATCAGTTTTAAAATCTACCCACCCCCGGCCTCATCCTACATCCAACGCTCCCTCTCATCCCAGCCTCCTTGACCTGACACGACCTGTCCATCTTCTCTCCCACCTATCCGCCCCACCTATCCCACTGACCAATCCCCATGACTCCCTGACAACAAGGTGCAGGGCTGGATGAACACAGCAGGCCAAGCAGCATCATAGGAGCAG